AATCCCAGGAACAGAGAAATCATGAAAATTGCTGCAGGAGAATGTAAGACATGAAATACATTTTATTTCTGTGCTCTTCATGAAGGTGGATGACCCAAAATATAAAATCTAAGTTATTTAGTATTAAACGCATGATTTTAAAAAGCCCACATCCTAAAGAAACCCAACACAAATCAACTTAGATCTAAAGTGTCCAAGTCTTTACAGACACTGGAAATACATTTTCAAATATCAAACAAATATTATTCACTGAGAAAGTGCTTTCCTGCAGCACTGCCCCTTTGTGAGGCTTCAAGTGGCAATGAGTCAGATTTACTGCCCCACAGCTCTGAATATATCTGTGATGGATTGGTGGGATTACTGATCAATACCAATAACCCAATGTCTGCTTTGCAAAAAGCCAGAGATTTGTGTTTATGTGTGTGTGTGTGTGTGGGGGGGGGGGGGGGGGGGGGGATCCTTCATTCACCTTTGGTGGAGAGTCTAAAGGCCAGACCAAAATGTAATTAAAGATTAAAGAAAGGGTGTTTAGGTAGTTTTGAAAAAATGTGAAAATGGCCTCAATGAAGATAAATGATCATGTTTTAAAATGACATGACATTCAAATTCGACAACTGCATATTTAAAATAAGAAAATAAATAGTGCTGGATGTGACAAATTTGGGCGGATAATGGTGTTAAAAAAATGTGATTTTTCTACTCCGTTGTGACTTTAAATTTGGATGTTTTTGTTGCTGTTGTTGTTTAATGATATTGGCTTTTTTTTTGTTTGTTTGTTTTTTTGTTTGTTTGTTTTTTTATTTTATTTGCAAAATTGAGAAATTGAAACTCCCTTTTGGATTGATAGACTAACCTTACAAACTACCAGAAGTTAACAAGCCTCTATACTGTCATTGGCATCTACCTCCAAAAACAATTTGAGGCATTTGAATGCAAGATGCTCTCAGACGAGATACATTTACTATTTTTACATTACTTTCTAATTACATTAATGTTTTCAGCAATGTAGGTGTGGCAAAGTGAACAGGTCTGGTACTGCTCAACTCATTTCATAATTCACAAGTCATTCAAAAACATTTCACTTAACAGGAACAAGTTTTGACCTTCAGTGATTTTACCTGTTGATGCATTTTTATGGTTCATTGACAGGCGATTAATAAGCCAGCTAGTAAACTAATCAAGGAGCTGCATTTAACCACAAGGTCAATTCTTTCCTCTATTTCCACAGGTCACCAGTTTATAGTTGTAGCCTGTGTCTAATATGATATCTTTGAATAATACTCATTAAAAAAATACTTTAATCCATCTATACATACTGTTGTCACAATCAGCATGCAGCAGCTGACACTCAGTACACTTACTTACTTAAAAAAATCAATTTTATTGCAATAGTCCAACTGAAACTGGACTTTTAAAAAGCATGTAAACACATCAGTCCAACTGAAACCGAACCTCTCATAGTAAGACAATCATACCTTGACAGTGTGGTTGGAGATTGATTTCTTCAAATTGGTTCACTCTGTTTAAGATATTTCCCAGCCAAAATTCCTCTCACATCTACATTACATATTAATAGTTACCAGAGAATTTTTTTTTCTCATGTTTGAGCTATCATAATTAAAGAGATAGAATTTTTTATTTTGTCCACAGGGGGCGCCATAATCAACATAACTCCAAAGGTTCCTCAGAGGATCTTTAAATTGCAAAGTTTTAATCCTTAATGACGACAACTCTCTAATCCACAATTTAACAAGACTTATTGCATTATTGCATTTTATTGATTTTTTTCCTACCACAGCATCTCAAAATGACTTCACAAGTATGTCTTTGAGCTGTTTTCTTTCTGGTTATTGGTGGGAAAGGTTCATACATAGAAGTACATACAAGAGGTTAAATGTCTAAACACATCACACAAATAACATCCCAGCTGTGATTTACTCACATTGGGTTGAATACAAAGCTGATTCAGATCACCTTGTACAAGGACATTGCTGTCATATTTTTAACAACAGAAATCGAGGTAGTCAAACTTACCCCATTAATTGTGAGATCCAGATAAAAGCCTGGAGCAGTAGATACAGTACAGCTCTAAACTCACAGACAAAGTTAAAGAGTTCAATAACTAACAAAGATGTTTGATGTGTCAAAGCTAAAGAAGGTGAAGGCTAAACTGGAAGGAAGTTGCAGCAATGGGAAAGAGCAAAAATTCAAACAGCAGCATCAAAGCAAATCTGTTAGCTAGAGAAAAGAAGACAGTATTGTATGATCTCTATGAAGTGAGTCAACAGACAGCTTTTGACTCAGTTACTGTGCATGTGAAATAAAAAAACAGAAACAGAAAGTGGTTTCTGTACCATCAAGGTCATTTAGCTGTTTTCTGCTAGATCTTTAAAAAGAGAGTTCCTACAAGAAAATAAAGAAATTCAAAAACAGGAATAACATCTTCACTTTTCTATACTGTAAATCTCTGTAAGGTATTCATACACTTTTCTGACCTTTTAGCACATATTTCACTTCCTGAAACCCCGCACTGAATAAACTGCTGCAACTAGCTGATGAACTAAAGAGAAATAGGTTGACTTTTGCTGAACAACATGGTGACGATAATAACAAGCAAAGAACAAAAAAAATCATTGCCACCACAATTGGAGGAGGACTAGAAGTTAGTAAACCACTCAATTAATGCCAAAGCATGTTAATGGTCAAAACAATTACTATTACTTGTTGATTTTAGCTCACATACTGAGTGAGATGTGCGTAGGAATAGGAATTTAAAAACTGTTGTAGATAAGGACCAGGTCCAACTAGTTTGCCTAATTGTTTCAATGCCTTCCATTAAGGACCTGCCTTGCAAAACAATGAAACAATTATGAGAGGCAGTCGATGACAACCAAGCATGTAATCATGATCGAAGACAGGAGCAGTCCAATCTGCTGTTGTGTACATCATAATACTGTTGTGTTTGCAATCTCACTTCTAGCTCCCCCGCAAAAAAAAAAAAAAAACTCCCAGTGCCCCTGCAACTTCCGGGGGATTTTCCATCACACAGACGAGTGTATTTTCAGGAACTATCCAGATCAAATCCCTCAAAAAACTACAATAATCTTTAGTTTTATACAGGGTCCCTATGCAAGTATGAAAAGTATGGAAATAAATCTGATCAATTTCCAGGTCTTAAAAAGTATGGAAAATGCAAAATAAAGTATGGAAAAATATGTTTTTTTTCCATACTATTGTTGTTCATGCTATCCAAAAATAATTCTTAAAAGTGGGGTATGAAAAAGTATGGAAATTCCAACTGTGTAGGAACCCAGTTTATAGATATATAAATATTTTTACAATATATAGATTAACTATAGTAAAATAGTGTCATTTCTGTGTTAGTTTACAATGCTGCATGATGGCTGCAACTAGTGGTCAACTAATAACCCTGCACTTTATTGATGCTCAAGAACATGGAGAATGAAAGAACTCGTGTGCAGTTAAGTTTAGCTGGCCCTTCTGTAAAAGGTCATTACCACTCAATAAGCAAGCAGAGGAGTGACATTCAGCTTAATGGTCCGAAGTTCGAGTCACACAGTGTGAATTTGACGTTTTCAGTCTCTCACTTTTCCTCATCAATATTTTTCCTTTTCGGTTCAGCTTTTGCAAACTTTTTTTCAAGCACTTCTTCTTTTAATCAAAGTTTTCATATTATTGTGTAAATGTATTTCTGGTGATGTTGGTACACAAGTATTCATCACATCAAAATGACAGGATGCTGTAACATTTGTGCATGTCACAGGGAAAATCAGCATGATAACCATTGCGACACTGAGTTATTCAATTAGCACGGCTGACATGGCCATCACGTAGTCACTCTCTGGTTGGTTCAGAGTCTATTTGCAAAATCCTACAGTAAGGAAGGGAACAGTGGGGGTTTGTAGCTGTAATGTATTTATTTATCTGTCTCTAGATTGAAATAAATCATAAATACAAACGTTTCTTCGTGCATTCATGAACTGAAGCATGTATATGTATTCTCAATCAGTGTAAAAAGTTTCTTGCTCTCTGATAAATCCTGATCCACGACCTGTGAAGCTAGGTTCAGTAGCTGTGTTAGCAGTGTCAAACCTGGTTTCATATCTTTGCTGCTCTTCATCTTAGTGCTGGTGACCAACAGCAAGAGCTCCAACCGCTGGGGCTGATGTACATATTCATAACCAATCACATCTGTCACAGTCACAACAGTCTCCAGGGTCAGATCGAGGCACATTGATATTTCATGTGGCCTATTTCTACCGAGCATGTCCCAATTATACAAATTTTCATATCCTAAATGTAGTCTGGTTCAGAATTAGAGTGGTCATACTTCTTAAATTTTTCACCTCAGATATCAAAATAAATTGCACAGTGGTTGCAAGTTGCATTAGCTCTATACAGAAAAAGCTATAGCGGGCAGGCAGTGAGAGTGTGACCCTGAATGTCCTGTTAACTATCATCCACACAATCACAGTTTTTGCGGAGAAGCCCTTCCCGGGTCAATTCTCACCGTTATGGCAAATGACAAAAATATGGTAATATGTGTACCGAGATCAGACTAAGCACCTGCTGGACCAGCTGGGACAATGTTCTCACCCTGACCCTAATGTTTGTCGACTCAATTATCCTTCTATCTCCACATTTGCTCTGTACACTTGGACTACTTATTTGTCCTGTGTAAAAGATGAAAGCGAGGGAAAAGTGTGAAAAGAGAGGGAAAAATGAGGGATGGGGAGAGAGTCAAAGAGTTTCATTTATAAGAGGGAGGTATTATGAGCACATTTATCCAAAATTGGAAAATAATGAAGAAAGATTAAAGCCCTCCCAGTATTTTAGATGTTCCAAATGGACAACCAGTCCTGGAGTTGACAATGGACCACAGAGAGTTCCAGACACTATTATGTGCCACAAATGAGACAGTGACAATGTGAAAGCCTCTTTGCAAGATAGAGGGGAAGAAACTTGAATAAGGTCTACTTGGGCACATCCCCTTTTATACATTTTGTGTGGTGGTGACAAGACAAGAGATAAGCGCTAACTGTCTTAAATGAAGTAAAAAGTGTAAAGAGGCTTTCACGTCCCCCATTTTGGATGTAATTATACTCCACCTTCAGGGTGCAACTTCAGCCGCTCCATGCAGGAGAGTCATGCTGACCCCTCATGCTGCATTCACATAGATTCACATGGGGATGAGTGGCACTGGTGGTGCAGCCTCATTCACAATGAATGGGATAAAGTAAGGCCAATACAATTATGTTTTTTCTATTATTTTATGTAGCTCTTCAGTAATGCCTGTAGATTTTAATTGCAGCTTCAAAGGGGTGGTTTGTGTTTGTCTCTAAGCAAGGTTTCTTGAAGTGCAGAGGTCAGAGCTGCAAAGTGCAGTTAGAACACAAACAATGAAACTAAGATAGATGCTTAAATAAAAGTTTTTGGACGGCCCAGACTGACATGTTAGGTAGATCATGGACAAAATCCACAGTGTGACCTATGACCCCAAAAATGTAGATTCTGCACTCTGACCAACTCCATCAGAATTTTTCAAAAAGAAAAACTACAGTATCTGCAATATAGATGTGGTAATCTTTTTTCATTGATATTTATCCTTAAGAATAAAACACTTGTTGGCTGATTGTATTGGTTTTAATAATTTTAATCCAAAAGAAAAACCACTTGCAACTTCCTGTATGCTTCTTATACATTGCAGTAACTACAGTTAATAATTAATGCTGGGCAAATGCTTTAGCCAAAACATTTAATCTGGTCCTCCTGGCTATTAATGGTCCATCCAGGTTAGTTTCTCAAAGTCAGTTAGCATGACAATCTTGCCGGATCAGAGTTTGAAATCAACAAAGTCTGAGTTTGTTTCCTGAATTTCCCTTCAAATCTTGCTTTATCGTCCACCCTTCAGCTTTTTATGTGCAAGTTTCTTTTTACACTTGAGCAGCATTCAGGCTAAATGCTAGCACTGCCACTAAATGCTGTCAGTGCTTCCTGTTATATGTTGCTCCTAAATAGATATGACCACAGCGTCTCTGCCTATCACTACATCACATGTATCTAGCATGCAGTCACTGTACATTTGTGCACACGAGAGTTTTCTCGTCCCAGCATGTAGACTTGCCGGCACATACACACAGCCAATTCACAGAGGAATATAATACATGGGAGCTAGTTATAGCAAAGCTTGGAATACCACAAACCATGGGCAATTAATTAGGATGCAAATGTTTTACCCAGCAGTTTAATACCGTATTGAGAATTGTGGCATCCATTGTAAGTATGCATAATATTGGACTTTTATCGACATCCAACATGTCAGTATTTTCAAACTAACTCTGACTGATACAGATATTGGTACTGGTATATACACAATGTTTTTCACAGTCAAGAATTCAAAGATTTGATCATAAACACGTGTGTAAGCTCATGAATTTCAATCATCATAGACATTACGCAATGTGCCTGCTGTCAGTTTCCAACATTTCAAAGCACTTTTATACAACCCGTATGTGTAAACAATCACTGGGTGCACATAATTAAAGCATCACCTTTTAGGGTAATAATTACATTTTCAGAAATTTTAATACCTGCCGTTACTGATTACTAACTTCTTAAGCTTTTATTAGCCAACTGTGATATCATGCCTGTAATATCTTCCAAAAAGGTGTGCGCTTCCTTACTCGGGCTGTTCTGTGATGTAAGATTTCAATTTAATTGTACTGATGGCTAAGCAAGCAACCATGAAGCCCTACTAGATCAAGAGCAGCACAAAAAAATAACCACTGATCAGCCTTTCAGTGGTCAATAAAGGATCCCATCCTCCGTCACAGCAAGACTAGTCCTTACGTATACTCCACTAAGAAGATGGACAAAACTTTAAGTATTTTGGCTGGGGTGACCAGCTTTAGCTGATCAGTAGAGAAAGTATCCCATATACAGAGGCTTCAGTCTTGAACAGTGGTCACTGGTTCAACTCCTGGCCTTAACCTTCTGATGCATGCCTATCTCTTCCCGAGTCGCCACACATTTCCAGTCTCTCTTAAGCTGTCCTTTACAAAAACGACACGATAAGCTCTCTAATGAATAGATTAAGGTTGAATAGAAATAAACTAGACCACCACGGTTACCTCACCTAATTTACCATCTTGTTCAGATCTCATGCACTATGAAGAACCGACACACACAAACAAGCTCTTTGACTGCTGCTCCACATTTTCTTAAAAAACTGGGAAATATTCTGTATAATTTCTGTTTTTCATTGCACCTTTTGGACTGAATCATCTCCTGTGAACTGTGTGTGCAGGTTTCGGCTACACATGACAGGTTAAGCATTTTGTTCAGCTGTGCCAGATGAGAACTACAGCCCCCATCACCTTAACCTAAGCTGGGAAAATACAGACAACCAGGTCACAGAAATTCTGTCACAAGTTATTGGGCACCTAAGAGTGTGGGAAATCCTGTGGTGCAATATTATTCTCTGTAAATCTCAAACTGTGAATAACACAAGCCAAGCAATTTAAGCAGGAAGGTCATAGCAAAGTAAAGCAGGAAAATTGCCGGGGAAAAAGCAGGCTTTCTGAGAGAGTGAAATAGATGAGAGATGAAGGGAGACGAAAAGTTGACGGGCAACCCAGGCAGGTCTACAAAAAGTAATGAATATCCCTTGGTGTGGAGCGATTTTGAGGAACTGTCATTCTGAATGAAGTGAGATAAAAATTATATTTCGCTCAGATAAAAAAACCAACCAATACAAAAGCAGAAAGGACATATGTCTGCCTGATGCTGCCCTTAATCCAAGACAAGGCCTGACAGCCTGCACCATCAAATGTCAGAGCAACTGAAGCATCAAAACAGAATGATTATACAACACATAGAGCCAAGATAAAAACAGCAGAGCATTAAGAAACTACACAGAAACCACCAAACATTTATATATACAATGCGAAACAAAAATCTAAGCCAGTCCCAAGCAACTTCTGATCATATTTTTGAGATTACATTTAAATAAGGAAATAAGAGTCCTGATCTGATTGAATTTTCGGGTTAGCATTTCTAAGCAAAGACTGCTGTGACAGTGACCTTTTACCAAAGAGTGACTTACCATTTCAGCTCTTTTAGCGCTCATATATTTTATTGCAGGCTACAGAGCTAAGAAATCATCTGGTATTTTTAAGCTTTTATTCAATGTGATTTCCAATGTAAAGACTTGGGCTTGTATTTTTATGAGGATTCAGAACAATGTCTTACACTTTCTCGCCCGACAGTCATTAGCTTGTTTGCACTCATGATCTCTACAGCTTCCCTCTCATTGTGTCACTCTGTCTCCTCATCTTTCACACACACACACACACACACACACACACACACACACACACACACACACACACACACACACACACACACACACACACACACACCTGCTTCCTCCTGTTTCTCTCCCCGCTCTCATCTCTCCACCTGTGGCTGCTCTAACACTGAGGTATATTCTACTACTGTAAGCTTCTCATATTGCTGTATGGTTTGGCAGTAATATCATCTGGAAAGTGGGCATAAAGGTGTACTGAAGCTACGTGAGATTTAACTGGCATATAACCTCTCAATCTGAGCATTCAATAACTAGCATCCACATTCAGCATAACCAACTTTTCACTGTTTACAAGCAGACTCTATGATTCCGTGTGTAGCTGTGCCAAATAAATTGTGCTCAATGTCAACTTAGACAGGTCCGCTAGTCAAAATATTTGTGAATATACATTTCACAATTAACATACATAGTTATGGTCTGGTGTCGTCAGACAAATTTGCCTTGGTCAGTAAGTCTAATGCCTTGTCTTCTTTGCTAAAATGAAAATATTTTTATACGTTTTGGCATACCTTCCACACATAACCACAGGATTATGTCATTAAAAACGGTGAGTTTGGAAAACTCTGGCCAAGGTGAAGATTTCGGAAAACTCCAGCTTTGCATTTGCGTGTGAACCATAGACTGTATATACTATGGAAAACTTGGCACAGCCTTCCAGCAGTATATGGATTTGAAGCCAAATAGCTCTCAGTATTTGCAGGTTTTTTCTCCATGTCCTGAAACCAACATTGTGCAGTAACGTTGCATGCACTCCACCACTTGCGCAGCAGCATTATAGCATTATAGCATTATAGCAGCGTTATTCGGCGGGAGAGCTACGCAATTTTTGTACACCCATAGGCTGTATCAAGTGTCAATTATAGAAAACATGAACCCCTTAATAACTTTTAAAAATCTTGCTGCACAGAAAAAAGAGGACTTGAGCACAAACCAGTCGTACAGTAACTACATGTCAACACCACAACTAGGGGGGAGAAAAATGTATATTCTGTGTAATAAATTTCTTAAGTTTGTCCACAGCTCCATGAGCTTTGCTGGGGGAGGCCTACAGCCTATACTGCAGCCCGTCACCAGAGGGAGCTGTTCTCGCAGTGGCTTCACCCAGCGAGGAGGCAGATGGCGTCTGTTCTATACACAGTCCATGATGTGGACATAGATAACCAGAGTTTTAAATTCCCAAACGTCAGTGTCCAAGACAACTAATAGATAGACGTCATATACTTTGCGCCCTTGTTTATGTCAGCCATTGGATGGCACAGATATACAGAATATATATTTTTGTGAGGAGCAAAGGAGGAGTGCTTTGCAGTCAGTTATTCTACACCAAATTACCCCTCCTCCACCTTTCTTGTGTCTTCTTGACTTTATACTACAAATGATGCTTAAAAGCTATTCTACCTCTCTGTCGGTTCACGAACAAACTTTACAGAACTATGTTTTATGTTTGGGGAAGTGACGACAAGAAAGGGAAATTTGCTCTGATTGGATAGAATAGGTCTAACTTTTTGGTAAATACTAACAACTCCAGGTCTGGCATGCTTATAACCACAGTCAATAACACATTTATGCAGTTTTGTGTGAATGGGATTTTATTTAAAAAGGATAATGTGTGTACATGACTTTTATGGGGGTTTTTTTTAAATTGAGGTGGTTGGATATTTGTTTATAAAAATTCTACTTGTGAACACGACCTAAAAACGTTCAGTTCACTCCATTTTTCCAGGAGTTGTCACTCAAAAAGTGCCTCTGGTTATGCACATACAAGCACATGTCTGATAGCAACAGTGCGAACAGACGGCAGCATGCAGAGGAGACACACAACTGTCCCAGTTGTTCGGTCTTAATTTAATGAAAATACTTCAGTTGTTCAAAATGTTCACCATACAGACTTTCCGCAGACTTCATTCAGAAACATGCTCCTGTTTAGTCATCTTAGTTAAAGGACTATGATTGGTCCAAGAAACATTTCAAATGGCACAAGTTCCTGTCAAAAATGGCTGATGAGTCTGGCTATGCTGGGCTGATACAGTTTGGTAATTGTAAAAAAAAGGAATATTAGTGTCTGGGGGAGTAGGAGTTTTTTTGTTGTTGCTTTGTTTTGTTTTGTTTTACCTAATGTCGACAGTTATTATTTCCCTTCTGACTTCAGCAATAATCAAGTGAGTTTGTCTCTGTGAGTTTAGTTGCATGCTGTTGGTAAACTACCTTGTGTCGTCAAATATTCCTTCTGGTGCCCCAAAAAGACATAGCTGGAGGAAAAACAAACTGATGCCATCTTTAATTATCATTGAAAGCTAATTTTGGCTCTTTTTAATTAACAATAATAACACTCCTGAAATGTGATCTTAACTAACCTTTACATGCGGCCTCCTTTGATTGTGCTCTTGGCACTTCTTCTTCAGAAGAGGAACAATAAATGGAGACGCGTGATCGATCAGTCCCTTCATTCAAATTCTACAATCAGGACAAAAAGGAATAAATAGAGGAGTGACTGTCATTAAATCTTAAAAAAGATCAACTAAATTGAGACTGATGTGCAAGGTTGTGTCCTGTGTCTTTAATGATGCCAAACTGACTACACGGCTATCAGCTCTGCATTTTTCATCAGCACAGTTTTCAGACAAACATGCAGGGATCTCTGAATTCAGACAAACTTTTCTCCCCTCCCTTCCTCCCTCTCTTTTATCAATTCAGCTCTTTTTGTGAGCACAGAATGAACTGAGCAGCCATTGATTTTGCCTTGTGTTGTAGAAAATAACGTGTCCTTCGCAAAAGAATACAGTCATGCTTCTCATTCCAAAGTCTTAATGCCTTTCCCTTGAATAAATCATCCACATCTATTGACTCTCTTTCATTTTGCAACACAAGCCCACCATTCAGACAGAAAAGAAAAGAGTCTGAATTACTTCAAGCTGGAGAGTTACCTTGCATAGAGCAGAATTAAGGACCATTTGCCAATATTGTGGATCAACTATGCCGAGTATAAAAGCTGCATTCTTGTGTTACCTGGCTGGGGAATAGAGCTACAATGGACTTCAAACAAGGACCAGCGCACAATCCACAGACTGATTTTTTACTTGAGGGACCTTGGACTTTTTACAACAAACATTTTTCTGCAAAGGCAAACATAAAGGGAAGCATCTGAATGGTCGTTGTATTACCCTCTTGCCCTTTGTCAGGAAGAATGTAGGCTGTTCACTGTACATCAATGGATGACCTCAATCTCATAATTTATCATTGTGGCACGGTACAGTATAAAGCTCCCTTTGGAATCGCTTGTTTTGCATTGTTCAACAGCTATTCAGCTGGATTTATTACTGGAAAAGTTTTCTCACATTTTGCTGCACATGTGGCACCTTCACATACCCTTTTCTGTTGAACCGAGAGTACAACAACCCAAAACAACCACAAACAAGGTATTAGTGATGCTCAAACCCTCTGTAAAGGTGAGGGAAAATTACTCAGAATGTTTTTCCATCCGGAGAAAGTTTCAGCCTCCACTGTCAGATATTTTTTAGACGGAATGAGTCAAACAGAATATGAGACTGAGATGTTTGTGGGTTTCATTGTCAGTACTGTAAGCCGGCTGACTATCCCTGCTGCTCTTTAAGGTGCCCACACTCCTACCTGAGTGACACTCACTTGAGCTCTGCTCCAGTCTCTAGCCCCTCTAACAGCAAGATAAGACTCTTATCACCTCCAAGAGTGAAGATTTGGCCTCAATCCAAGAGAACCAACGGAGCAGGAAAACCACTGTCTAGACACTTAAGGTGAACCAAAAGCAACAATGCTCTGTTTGACAGGAAATACTAAAGGGCTGTCGCTGAGGCACGGCACACCGAGGAGGCTGTAGTTCAGACAATGTCATTGTGCAGGAGCGCCTCACCAAATCCTCTTTCCTGCAGTCATTTTTCATCATCGACTACCATGAACCTTCTGAGGGACAGGGGAGGTGGGAGCACACAAGTTTTCTCAGACTGACATAACATGCAAAAGGGTTAACATGCTATCAGGTCAGCGTGATTAGCATATACCTGCAGACAGTAACATGCCCTGTACTGTATGTTAAACTGTGGACACACACAGAGGTTAATTTACTTTTGTTCAACTCATTTACAGCCTTTGCATGTATTCTTGTAGTCCATGAAGCAAACCAAATCCCTGCCTGGATAATTTTTATTTGTATCTTTTTTCATGCAAACAGAACAAAAAACACAGGTACCCACCCCTAGAAACACATATCAGTGGAACTTGATTGTATCTAAAAAAAAAAACAATGAAACCACTTTGTCATTTTTTAGGGTTACCAATAAGCACTAGGTTTGGTATTTTTGCCTCATCCATATCTTACTTATGAGAATAATGTGGTAATATTTGGAGAAAGTGTCAGACTGGCTCTGTTGAACCTCTTTTGAAATTTCTGGTTCACTTTCCTTCAAAAGCACTTCTCCATGCAGCTGATGGAGTTGCTCTTGGCAGCCATTTTTCAAAAATGTAGGTTGACCACTCCTGCACGTTGGTTTTACCTTTACTTTCAGGGTATCAACTACTGTTTCACATACTGTTATAAAAAGTCAAAAACTTTAAGAGCCTACTTGAGTTTAAAGGTCTGTTTCTGAAAGTTTGCATTTTGAACCTAATTGTATCCATTTTTGTATATAATGTTAGTTTAAGTGCCAAGGCCAATTGGTTCTTATTTGTTCCCACTAAATAAGAAAATAAATAAACTGCACTTATGAAACTTGCACAAATTTATTCAGTCTAACCTAGGATGCATTTAGGGGTGTAAACCGCTCCCAAATAGGACTATCCAACCTGATCCTGAATGGCTCTGATACCATTCATGGAGGATTCATTACAATAAAAAACAGTTCAGATTGATATGATTCGGTTTGGTTCAATGTCAAGTGGTGACTGAATCCATTTTAACTTTTACTGTAAGACAAATTTTTCTTTCAAAATTGTGTTTTTGTGTTTTACTTTTCTAAGAGTTGAAAGACAAAGACCTCTGTACAACCTGGAATAATAAGGGTCTTTAACACACACACACGCACCCACATTGTGTCTCACTATTAAAGGATGTCGGTTGAGAAATAGGAAGAATTATTAAAATTGACACAAAAATGGTGGTTTCTCTGCACATCTACCTCCATCTGAAGACCTAAGAATAAATACAAAATTACGCAGAAATAAAAAGGGAAGAGTTTTGATAAAATCTACCCCCCTTTATCAATTGAATATAATGACATGATAAATAGATAAATAAAAAAATAAAATTAAATAAAAAGGCATTCTGTATGTCAGAAACAGTGCAGTCCATCAATAAGTCAGGCTATCAAGGTCTTCATATTGTTTTATATACATCCTGCCTATCTATTAGCTTAATGCACAGACTTTCATAAGTGGACATTTTGGCCGTTTCGTCCATCCATGTCTTTATTGCAATTCCCCCTTTAGTTTCCAGTGGCACAACGTGATCCTGCAGGCTGTTATAAGTGCTATTCTGCACCATGAATACTGATGGGAGTTTCAACCTCTTTTTTATTTTTTATTTTTTTGCCAAACAGGTAGCATATTGGGTCCTGCACTCATGTAGATTTAGTCACTTCATCGATAAAACATACAATTTCAGCCCAAAGAGGATAACCCATAGGACATGAATACAGCATGTGCAGGTGAGTACCACAAGTGGTGTCACATCTCCAACACATGCAGTAAACTCTAAGGCCCGGTCTTGCATTTTGTTTGGGGTCCAATAAATTAAATAAATGATTTTGTAGTTAATCAGTCATGTTTTCCTCATGATACTTTAAAATTTAAAAATAGCATAAAATTTTGTCCGATTTATGTATGTTTTTTTTGCTGCCCGAAAGAAATTGCATACAGCTTTATTGTATTTAGCTAATAGGTTTTTTGGTAAGCTCAGTGGTAGCATGTAGCTTAGATAATTAATTTTGGGGACAATTACCCTCTTTAAAGTGTTAATTTCCCCCAAAAGGAATAGCCTGCACTTGGTCCTGGACTTCCAGACAGTAGCAAAATATCATCCACATACTGTTCCACACCACCAGCTTGCATACCAACAATATGGTTATTTTTTCAGTGGTTCTAGCACCAGTGCAGAAATCAAGGTGGGACAGAGGGCATCCCTGCCTTGTTCCTCTATGAAGCTGAAACAGTCTCCTGCCAGTAGT